TTTAAAGAATGTTTAAACACTGGTTATGTTTGCAGCAGATACATCACCTAACTGCTAGCCACAGTATGTGGTAAATATACATGGGCTGGAGATTCACATACATCACCTAACTGCTAGCCAAAATGTGTGGGAAATACACATGGGCTGGAGATTCGATTCCTTTCACTGACATGAGTGAGACTCAGTGCACATTCACACTTGCCCCTTTTTGTTATGCTCTGGAAGTCATCCCTATAAGATTCATCAGGACTGCACTCCGATACATGTAGGAAAGTACCAGGCAGAGTGTCTTCCATTCTTTTGTTTTTGCCTTTTCTGAAACCCCTGCAGCGTCTTGTCCGTGCATGTGCTTGCACATGCGCGGACATCATGCACGGACATGATCCTTGAGGAAAACAAACACTGTCAGTCCATTTGTGCATTTTAGGGCATACTCACACTGGCACGTACAATCACAAATTATATGTGAGCCAATTTGCGATTAGAGGGCAGTTCCCAGTCACACAGCACAGTGTCACCCGTACACGTCTGTAGCTTCTCTCTGTCGAGGCTGTACCATAGGTAGGATAGATTCGTAATTTTGTTTGGCTGAGGGCTAACCGAGTGACCTGCCTATAAGGAAAATTTGTGAGGGACATATCTGTAAATACGGGAAAATACAGGCCCGTACTAACTGAATGTCCTACAGCTATCCTAACTGTGAATAGCAGACCCGGGCTACCCCTAGGACAGACAGGCCCTAAAGGGCTAAGCTGATAGACGGTCCTATAGCTTATAGCCGGGTTGGGAGAGGCCCTAGAGGCCGAAACAGAAACGGTACCAGTCGGTCAGTCAGTCCGGTCTAGGTCGAGTCTAGGCTAGAGTAGACTATAGATAGGTTGGGCACATCGGTTCAGGGCTTTTGGCAGTTGGTACCGAGTACATCGCTGCTGCGCTATGCGAGAACCGGAACTGGTGACGGCTCAGCGTTGTGAGAGACAGACATAGCCAGACCTTTGGAGCGCCGGCCATAGCTGGGACCTGTGCTGTACTCTATTAGCACGCGGGGCTGAACAAAGGTCTGGGCAGGGCTGGTCCCCGGATGGACCGGGGGCCCCTCCGACGACCGGGTCCTTGCCGGTTGGACCGGGCGGTCGACCGGCCTGGCAGGCATCCGGTCGACCGGCCTGGCAGGCATCCGGTCGACCCCAGTGCATTTTGCTGGGGGCCATGTACCGGGGGTTTTCTGGTTCCCCGCCGCCTGCCCGGCCTCTGAGAGGCCGCCGCTACTACGTGAAAAAAAAATTGGGGCCTTCGGACCCCGCGTTTTCGATGAAACGCGGCGGCCGATCCCCGCCGTCGATCTGCGAAGATCGACGGCGGGGATCGGCCACCGCGTTTCATCGAAAACGCGGGGTCCGAAGGCCCCGATTTTCAAATTTCAAACGCGGCCGATTTCGGCCGTAGATCTGGCAGATCGGCGGCTGTAATCGACCGCGTTCCAAAATTCGAAAACAGGGGTAATCCAAGTTCCCCCCGAACCCCAACGCGCCGCTACGCAAAGCCTACCTGGCCCGCTTTTCGATAGCATGCAGCGTTGCCGTCGCGTGCATTCCCGCGGCATGTCGACGTCCTGCTGCTCGCCATCGACGACGCCCAGCCTGCTACCGCCGACGAGTCCACGCGCCATCGCCATGCCCGCCTGCGAGAAAGCCCCGAGCCACCATGCCTGTCAACCTCGGAGGTGAGCGCAGCGGCCGTAGGTAGTTTTTTTTTTTTTCTACGTTCTTCTTCTTCGTCTTTTTTGTTCTTCTTCTTCTTTCTTCTTCTTTCTTCTTCTTCTTCTTCTTCTTCTTCTTCTTCTTCTTCTTCTTCTTCTTGTTTGATCATCTTGGTTCTCGGAGGGAGAGAGAAAGAGAGAGAGAGAGAGTGAGGGAGAGAGACCACGACCACAAACCTTTTGCTGCGCCGTTTCTTCTTCTTCCTCCTCCTCCTCCTCCTCCTCCTCTTCTTCTTCTTCTTCTTCTTCTTTATCTTCAGCTTTTTCTCCTTGGAGTCCTTGTCTTATTCTTCATCT